GTGGGGCGCATGCATGGGGGTCACGCGAGCATTGCATTTGGGGAATTCTCATGTGCTTTGGACACTCGGTCCGGAAAAGGTTCGCCATCACTGCCCTATACCATTTCAGACAAGTGACTGTCCAGTTTCTTCTTAAAAATCTCCAGTGATGAAGCATCTACAATTTCTGAAGGCAAACTGTTCCACTGGGTAATTGTTCTCACTGTTTGAAGTTTCTACTTAATTCCAAGTTGCTTCTCTCCTTGATTAGTTTCCCTCCATTGTTTCTTGTCTTGCCCTCTGGTGCTTTGGAAAAATAAGTTGACCCCCCTCCTCTTTGTAGCAGCCTCTCAAATACTGAAATACTGCTACCATGTCACCCCTAGTCTTCCTTTTCTCTAGACTTGCCAAACCCAAATCCTGCAACCGCTCTTCATATGTTTTAGTCTCCAGGCCTTTAATCATTTTAGTTGCTCTTCTTTGCACTTTTTCCTGAAGGCTTGACATCTTTTTGTAGAATGGTGAGCAAAACTGGATGTAGTATTCCAGGTGTGATCTTAGCATGGCTCTGTAAAGCAATACTAATATATGATTTTGACGATGCCTCTGTTTATACAACCAAGGATTGAATTAGCTTTTTTGGCTGCTCCCACACACTGCTGTTGTTCTAAAATGTTTCTTCCCCTCTCTCTCAGGCCCCTTCTCAATATAAAATGCTTATAGCCCAGTTCTGCACAATTACCGCATTTCATAATGTTGGCCCACCATAAAAATTTATAATAGTTCAGCTCATTCTTGTTGGCTGAAATATCCAAAGAATGTACTGAAGTTAGTCCTTGGTGGCGCAGTGGTTAGAGTGTAGTACTGCATGCTACTTCTGCTGACTGCTGGCTGCCTGCAATTTGGCAGTTCGAATCTCACCAGGCTCAAGTTGACTCATCCTTCCTTCCTTCCGAGGTGCGTAAAATGAGGACCCAAATTGTTGGCGACAATATGCTGACCCTGTAAACTGCTTAGAGAGGGCTGTAAAACACTGTAAAGCAGTATATAAGTTTAAATGCTATTGCTATTGCTATTTGAGTTGGCCTTTTTCAATTTTGTAAAATGCATTTTAAAAAAATCTCTCCTTGCTTCAGAACAATTTACCAGTACTCTTGCAAATGTCCCTAGTAGAGACATGAAAGGTTCAAATTCTATTTCATAGCTTCATTTTGAGTCTAGCAAGGTCAGACGGCATATTAGGAATTTATTTTTATATTGGTAAAGACATATTTTGTGGTTTCGGGGGGTTATTTCTGCTTTTCCCTGAAGGGCCTTTTAAAAAATTTTTTTTTAATGCTGCTAAAATCAGGTTTTCTGGAGTCATTCGCCATCATTTTGAAGAGAAAGGGCAGGACCAGTGGGTTGAAACAGATTTAGGATAAATATTAGGATAAATTTTCTAATGGTAATTGCTACCAATGGGTGAAAGAAGGAATAAGCTGTTTCATGTTTTTGTTCCAGCTCTTCAAAGAAAGACTGCATAGCCACCTGTTCAAAATATTGTATGAAATTCTTTATTGAGCATGGATTGGACAAGATGACCTGAGATATCTTCTGATTCTGTGATTCTGTACAGTAGTTCCAAGAAGGCAATACTCTCTCTGCATAAGTATGAAAGCAATGCTACCTATCACATGCACTTAAAATGCCCTTCTGCAAGACTTTATTGAGCATCTAGAGGATAGGATAGAATAGATTAACAGAATTGAAAGGGATCTTAGAGGTCTTCAAGTCCATCCCCCTATACCATTTCAGACAAATGGTTGTTCAATCTCTTCTTAAAAACTTCCAGTGTTGGAGCAACTTCTGGAGGCAAGTTGTTCCACTGATTAATTGTTCTAACTGTTAGGAAATTTCTCTTTAGTTCTAAGTTGCTTCTCTCCTTGATTAGTTTCCACCCATTGCTTCTTGTCCTACCCTCAGGTACTTTGGAGAATAGTTTGACTCCCTCTTCTTTTTGGCAGCCCCTGAAGATATTGGAAAACTGCTATCATGTCTCCCCAGTCTTTCTTTTCATTAAACTAGACATACCCAATTCCAGCAACCATTCTTTATATGTTTTAGCCTCCAGTCCCCCTAATAATCTTTGTTGCTCTTCTCTGCACTCATTCTAGAGTCTCAACACCTTTTTTACATTCTGGCAACCAAAACTGGATGCAGTATTCCAAGTGTGGCTTTACCAAGGCATTATAAAGTGGTATTAACACTTCATGTGATCTTGATTCTATCCCTCTGTTTATGCAGCCCAGAACTGTGTTGGCTTTTTTGGCAGCTGCAGCACACTGCTGGCTCATATTTAAATGGTTGTCCACTAGGACTCCAAGATCCCTCTCACAGTTACTACTTAAATTACTATTTTAAAAAAGGTCTTAAAAAGCCTGCAAAAAAAAAAAAAAAAGAGATGGTTGTAGTGGTGGAAATTTTTTCTAAGAGGTAAAAAAAGAGGAATAAATCATAGTTTGAAGACTGATTGCCAAACACCATTGTCTATGTTTAATGTAGTTATAAAACAAGGTTTCTTGTCTTAACTTGTATGAAATGTGAATTCCTTAATTAAACTTTATCAGAGAAAGATGCATTATGCATATGGACACTTAACAACAATAAGTGCTTATTTAATGATGAGCAGAGCACTAAAAAAGAATCTATTGTAAAGTTAATTGGGAATTGGAATGATTGCACTTTAATGTGACAAGCAGGGGATTACTTATTTCAGTAGTCAGTATGTGCAATTTTCGCCCAAAAGGAAAAAAAACCCCTGTCAAATTGCTCTTCTCATGTTTTCTCTTAAGAGTAACATATTATGTATTGCAAATGCATATTTTGCAACTACACTGCTTTAAATCTGCCACCTGCCCCATCTGGCCTTTTGATCTCTGATTGATCCTCAATTCATACAAAGGCCAAAAGAGGGATGAAGAAGAAACCTGACATGGACTTTGTCGAAGGGATTTGGAGCCAGCTGCTCCAAGGGACAGCCTGGCCTACCCAACGGCTATGAAGCAAGTCGGAGCTCCTCACAACTCTCCTGCCCATTTATGAATGATTGCGAAAAAGAATACTGAAAATTGAAGTGTCTGAAAATTGCATGCAAAAGATACATTGGTGCAAAGAAGAAAAACCAAGCACTGACATCAAAACTTTGCATGAAGAGTTTGCATGAATATATTAAACAGATTCATATAAGAGAAATAGAGCTGAAAAGAGTGTCAAGCCCTGAAATGGCAAGCTTCGGCAAGCTGTCTCGGGTTGCCATTCAGGGAGGAGAGGCGGTTTGACTGAGACTGACGCAATCGCTGCGCTGATCAGCTGGGAGGCGGCGAATGGATCAGCCAACTAGCAGCTGGTCACGGGGCGGCACCAGGTGGAGGCTATGATGCTGCTCTGCATGTTGATAAGCAGCTGAGCATCGGAGCTGATCAGCTGGGAAGCGAAGCGCTGATCAGCTGCAGCACGGAGAGTGGGCCAGCAGCTGAATGTTGGCCTAGACATGACCGAAGATTCCAGGCTGTTCGTGGCATCCGGAAGCTGAGGGGATGGGGTAGGCACGTTCAAGGGAATTTAAGGCACGGTAGAGAGGCCGCAGTTAGTACTGACTTTGTATGTCACTCAGTGCTGGGTTTTCACACTTTCCAGGATAAAACGCTTCAAACAAAACTGTGTTGCTTGCGGTTTCTTGGTGCTGGATACTTGGACGTGACACAGAGTTTCTTACGGAATCTGTCTTAAAAGATGCATGCATTCAGGGAAATCTCTACATTCGGAAGAATTGCAAATTTAAATAGCTGAAGTTGATTTTGCAACCTATCGAAGAAATTGGGCCTTTTATTCTGGGCTCTTCATCAGGAGCCAGTAATTATCAAGGAACAGAAGAGAAAAGCTTCTTTTCCCATGGAAAATGCTTAAAGGGCCATGTGAAAGGCTCTTACGTTGTTTTGCAGAAAAATATAATTGTGACTTACATTTTGTTTCTTTTCTTGTCCCAACATATTGTCTCAATCGACGGCTCCATTTTTGAGAGGAAAACAATTGTCCTTATAGTGTCGTGTCTTTCCTTTGGCAGCTTCCCAAAATCGGTGGGAGGATCAACTTTCAAAATAATTTCAACCTTTTCAATTTTAACCAGAAAGAGGTTAAACCAGGTAGTCCTCGACTTATGACCACGATTGAGCCCAACATTTATGTTGCTGAGTTAGAAACTTGTTAAGCGAGTCTTGCCCATTTTACGACCTTTCTTGCTACATTTGTTTTTTTTATTAAACTTTTATTACATTAAAAACATAAAAAAATATTTCACTCAACAACAGCTAATTGTGGTGTTTTTCTTGTGACAATAATTTGTGCATTATTTACAGAAATTAAATTGTGCGTATTTACATTCTTATTTTATCAATTATTTGTACTTAATAACTATCTATCTTCAATCTATCTCCATTCTATCCAATTATACCACTGTTCCCACACATTGTAAAATATCGATGTCTCTTTATCTTTTAAACTCAGCGTTAATTTGTCCATTTCTGCGCAATTCATGATCTTTTGTATGACCAGTTTCTCTGCAGGTGTATATGGCTGTTTCCAACATTGAGCATAGGCAATCCTGGCAGCAGTTAATATGTGTAGTACTAGATATTTTGTGCCCTTCGCATATTTTTTTTTGCTTCACTTGTTAAGTGAATCACCGCAGTTGTTAAATTAGTCACATGGTTGTTTAGTGAATTTGGCTTCCCCATTGACTTGGCTTGTTAGAAAGTTGTAAAAGGTGATCACATGACCCCGGGGACACTGCAACCGTCATAAATGTGAGTCCGTTGTCAAGCATATGAATGTAAATCACGTCGATGGGGATGCTGCAATGGTCATAAGTGTGAAAAATGGTCATAAGTTGCTTTTTTCAATGCCGCTGTAACTTTGAATGGTCACTAAGTGAACTGTTTAAGTGGAGGACTACTTATACATGATCACATAAGATTACTTACCAGCCTGTCCAAGCTGGTGCCAGCAGCAGTTGTTGGTCTTTCTTCTGGGTTATAAGGTCGAAAGCGAGCACTGAAGTTTTCAGGAATGGATCGAGACGATCTTACGCCTGGAGCTGGTTTAGGCTGTCCACACCCTTGGAAAACCTACAAGAATAATATTCAGTTACACACAAAAGAACCACTGAAATGAGAATTTCAATAATTCATTTTCTGACTGGATACTGAAAACCTAGCCTATGTTACAAAGCTTGAAACATTTGAACGAGTAGATTTTTTTTTTTACTTGCTATGCAAAACTTCAGTGGATTTATTTGTTAAAGGTCATCAATCAACCGATGAAATCCAGCAGGTTCTGACAGGTTCTGGAGAACTGGTAGCAGAAATTTTGAGTAGTTCAGAGAACCGGCAAATGCCACCTCTGGCTGGCCCCAGAGTGAGGTGGGAATGGAGATTTTGCAATATCCTTCCCCCAGGAGTGGGGAGGGAATGGGGATTTTGGAGTATCCTTCCCCCAGGAGTGGGGTGGGAATGGAGATTTTGCAATATCCTTCCCCCAGGAGTGCGGAGGGAATGGGGATTTTGCAGTATCCTTCCCCTGCATGCCCACCAAGCCACACCACACCACACTACGCCCACTAAGCCACGTCTACAGAACCGGCAGTAAAAAAAAAAATTGAATTTCACCACTGCAACCAATATACTGTAATTTTAGAAATTTCAGTTAGCATTATCTAAATCTGAAGTGCAAGCTCCTATCTGCTGCATCAGATAGGCCTTGGTTCATGAATGCCATGTTTGAATGGTTCTGGTTTGGTTTTCAATTGACAGATAGGCTGAACAATAACTTTACAGTTTGCCAATTGTTGTTTTCAGCATCAATTATCTGAGATGGACTGTCTGAAAGACCATGCTGCAATCTCCTGAAATTCTTTGGCTTTGTTCTTTTTAAGTCTATGCACCTGTTGCTAGTCTCACTAGGAGTGGTGCAGTGGCCTAGAGGTAGAGCTCTCACAATCAGGAGGCTATGAGTTCAATCCTAGGTAGAGGCACATATTTCTCTCTCTGGGCACACTGAGAATATATCTGCTGAACAAAACTCTGCATTGGCGACAGGAATGGCATCCGGCTAGTAAACACTCAGCTCGATTCAGTTGCCCAGACTCCACCCTGCAAGGGATTATGGGGCTGTTAAACGAAGACGATGACCTGTTGCTAGTCTCATTGTTCAGCAGATTTGTTCTGGAACTTCACAACTGCCCCATTTTCCATGGAAATGCAGTCTTTTTAGTAACAACTGCCTATTAAATAACCCATTTTATAATACTGTATGGGAATACATTTCTCTGACAAACTCAGTGATTGAGGCCTTTTTCTTTTTAATGAACACGCTCTGCTTCCTAAATAGAACAGAACTGAACTAAGAAGTATTCAGGATAAAGCCAGACAAGCTGCCATTGGTATAATCCCTACTTTTTTGGTCAAAAAAGGCATTTACATCAATAAAGGAAAAATCATAATATATGTCCTGAGAGTCACGAAACTATGGAATACAAAAGAAGGGCAATGATAGAATAGTGGAGAAATCTTCCAACTCCGATGTGTTGCAACAAAATATTAATATTCCATAGAAAGAAGGAATCACATATGATTGATTATGAATGGATGAGGATTATGATTTATCATAAAACTTCACCATAATTTATGATACAGTTAGGTGAATCTGGGGGCCTTGAAATTAGGAGGAAGTTAAGAAAATTGTTGCTACTTATCGTTAGATCAGAGACTCTACCAAAATGTCACAAACTACAGTTGGCTATACTGAGATCAGGTAGGGCTGGAGATATATGGATCTAGGTGAACAATTTCTCCCATTTTTAAATCATGTTTGATATTAAAAGCCTGTGACACCGGCTTATATGAGTGACCCTGTCATGAGCTTGTCAGAAGTTTTGCCAAGAAAATAATTTGTGAGTAAATGAAGAGATAAGGTATCTGTGCTCCTAGATCAAATGATACAGATGGAAAAAATGTTGGCTGAAATGGTGGGAAGCAGTGGGAACTTTGCGACAAAGTGACCAGGTCATCTTGAGCTCCATTCAAGATTCTATAAGAAATGAAACTGAAGCACAGCCATATATACTAGTTTTCATGGAAGCCAATATTAATAAGCTTAGAGAAGTACTAGGTGGGAACCTATGGATAAAAATCCTAGGTCAGAAGGCCCAAAGATGACTTCTAAACAGCATGCTTTCTTTTTTGTAGCAATAACAATAGCACTTAGACTTATATACAGCTTCATAGTGCTTTATAGCCCCCTCTAAGCAGTTCACACAGTCGGCATATTACCCCCCAACAATCTGGGTCCTCATTTTACCGGCCTCGGAAGGATGGAAGGCTGAGTCAACCTTGAGTCGATCAAGCTCGAACTGCTGGCAGTCAGCAGAATTAGCCTGCAATACTGCATTCTAACCACTGTGCCACCACAGCTCTTATAGAGGATATATTTTCACGTGGAGCCTTCATCTTATTGCTAAGGCAGGGTGAAGCTGGATTAAGGTGATTTGCCAGCAAAATGATGCTTTCCACAGGAAATCAATAAACAAACTTCCCTGCAAACAATACATGTTTCATAGAGCTCCAGTTGGTCTCCTTTCTATATGCCTGGAGACTCTGGCTTCTATGGCCATTTATACCTTTACTGTGACATCTTTTTTTTTCTAAAAAGAGAGCCAGTTTAATGTAGTGGTTAAGACTCCAGGCTACAAACCAGGAGACAGTGAGTTCTAGTCTAGCCTTAGGCAGGAAAGCCAAATTGATCTTGGGGTAGTGTCTTTCTCTCTCTCTCTCAGCCTAGAAAGAAGGCAAGGGCAAACCACTTCCAAAAATGCATTGCCAAGCACACTGTAGGGATTAATCTAAGCAGTCACTGAGAATCAAAAACTGACTCAAAGGCACAAATGAACAAATGAATAAACTTTTCTAGCACACCTGCAGGGTGTCATGGAGTTGAATCATAATCTGTGATTGTAAAGCATTGCTCAACAGAGGAATAGACTTCCTTGAAAAATCTCCTTTGTGATATTTGGACTAAAGTTGGAAAAGTTTCTGTTGAGGATGATTTAGCAGTGGATTCCTTGGCCAGGGTGCTAGTTGGTCTACTGTATATGTGATGACAAAACAAACGCCATCACGCTGCTGAACAAATAATTCCCTCAACACTGTCAAACTATTTACTAAGTCTGCACTACTATTAATCTTGTCATTGTTCCTATCACCCATCTCCTCCCACCTATGACTGTATGACTGTAACCTTGTTGCTGGTATCCTTATGATTTATATTGACTGTTTCCTAATATGATTTGATTGCTTATTTGTACCCTATGACTATCATTAAGTGTTGTACCTTATGATTCTTGATGAACGTATCTTTTCTTTTTATGTGCACTGAGAGCGTATGCACCAAGACAAATTCCTTGTGTGTCCGATCACACTTGGCCAATAAAGAATTCTATTCTATTCTAATACCAACTTTATACTCTGTGATTCTATGAAAGTAATTGTGGTCCTAGAAATGTACATAGACGGTTTTCAATTGTCAAGAAAAAGGAACATGAATGCAATATAGCCTTCTGGTTTGCTATTTATTCCAAACATTTAATAGCGAAAATTGATACCTTTCCAGTCACATGCACACTGTTTTCTTGCATGTTCATAATGGCTTCAGAAATTTTGACATCAATGGGATCCATAACTGACTCAATGTTGAATGGTCCCTCTAGTCTGTCTGCTACCAAAAGCATGGCATCTGTTAAAGAACAAATGAGTCGGTCATTATATAATCAGTAACTGTGGAACTTCACACGTTATGCTTAATCTTGCAATTATCTCAGGGCAAAGTAATGAAAACAAGCTAGTCTCTTATTTGCTGTACAGAATTCACAGAATGCTTGAATGAATGAATGAATGAAGCAGATTTTTAACAGGTCCTCATAGTGCAATCTTGGCTCCAAAAATTTGCATTGCTGTAACTATATTTCAGGTGTTTCATCCTAAATGTATTGCAGGTGTATCTGAATTACATTGAAGGCGTGTTTTTCAGCTAGTTGCCTACTCTTAAAATATAGTTGTGGGATGACTGTCTTCAGTATGGACTCTCAGTCTGTGTGTGTAGCAGGTGTGTTGCACGTTAAAGTTGGATGGCCCATGGCAGTTGTGAAAATTCATGGACACTCAGCAGACAACAGGACTGCCTGCCCTGCTGTGTCTCACTTTCCACTTTTCTTCTGAATCACCACTGTTGTGATCATGTGGTTGATCAGGAGAGTTAATTTCTTACGCAATTATTCCCTCCATTCTTTGTTAATCTCACTTGAGAGAAATGAGAATAAATTTCCTTTTCCCATCCAATAAGTGCAGCTGTTCAAATGAGTGTTTCTCCATTGCTATTCAGGACAAATGATTCTGACAAACAGCCTCTTTGATCAAAAGAACCATGAATGGGGATAGGCAGGGGTGGGCTGTTGGGGGTTCGCAGGGGTTCGGGAGAACCTCTAGCTAAGATTCTGTGCAGTTTGGAAAACCCCCAAATCCCACTCCTGGCTGGGCCCATCCACCCTGCCCCTCCCTTCCCTGGAGTCCCCACGCAGCCCGTTTTGGGTGCAGGTAAGTACAGAGCATGTGCAGAGGCTTGGGGAGAGTGAAAAATGGGCCTACCAGAGGTTCAGGGAGCTCCAGAGGTCCTCCGGAGGCTGGAGAGGCCATTTTCATCCTCATGGAGGCTCAAGTAAAACCTCTGGAGCCCGGGAAGGGTAAAAATGCCACCCTATCATGATGCAGGAGGCCAACTAGGCGATGCCCACCATGGCCACACCCACCCAGCAGCTGGGCAGAGAACCCCTTGCTAAAATTTTTGAAGCCTGGATTTAGGCAGACTAAGAAAAGCCAATAATCAATCTTTTTTGTGTGTGTAGCCCCAAAGTTCCATAACTTTGTACCCTATCCCCCGATACAAAAATTCCCGATATATAGGAAAGCTCCAGCTAAGGAATAAGAAGCAGCTTAAAAGTTTTCTCCCCTAAAGCCATCTGCTGTCATCGGTACATAAGAAAAAAAAAAAAAGACAACTGAGAGTTGACAAACTGAATGAATTAAGAATGCACGTTCTACTTTTTCATGCAGCAAAGACAAAAGATCCTTTTGTCATGACACCTGAAACAGATAATTTGCTCAATAATTCATTCATAGATTTATCCATCATACACATGAAACCTGATAGAAATGAACCCTTGGTGGATAAGTCTAGAGTTTTGCACAAGACACTGAAAACTTCAACTTGACGTAGCAGGATCTTGTAATTAAAGCAGCTGTTCTCTCTAAGCCCAAGGACTCCATTTCCTTGCAATACAAAATGGGATAAATATTGGATTCTTGCCATGATGTACAGGTACAAGCCAAGTTTGATGCTTTGGGCTTTTTACAAAATGCAGCTTGATGTCGGAAGATACATTTTATGATACCACGGGGGCTACATAAGCTCATTTGTCTAATTACGCACAACATTCTCTGGGTGTGTAATACGAGGATGATGAAGTATCCATATTGTCCTTGTTACAGTATACCTCTGACAATCTGAACCACTGCCAGTTTATCCATCAATTTACTTAGTATTCTGGACCTTACAAGTGTTCCTTTACCCCAGCACAGAATTATTTTGCCCCCCACCCCTCGGAACAGACTGATAAACAGAATGATAAATTCTGGGTCAAAGACTTGGTTAGTTAATCAGTCTTTTCAAACAATTGGCAGACATCTGAGGGCTCTGAACTAGATTTAGCATGACCATGTGCACCCGGCCTTTAAAAAAAGAAATCATAATTTAAAAGCAAAGATTTTGTTGAAATTTCTTTTTGTATCTTTGCATAAAATATTTTGACTGGAATTAGTAGAATTTTGTAGCTGAGGGGTCCTTGGTGTACTCTCAGCTTGGTTTTCTTGCAGACATTTCATTATCCAAGTTTGGTAACATCATCAATGCTAGTGTAGGTAATGGATCGTTTTTTCCTGTGTTCCCCTTCCCTGCTTTTTCTAGTGTAGTTTTCATTACCAATAGATCAAGGGTGAAATCCAGCAGGTTCTGACAGGTTCTGGAGAACCAGTAGCGGAAATTTTGAGTAGTTCGGAGAACCAGGAAATGCCACCTCTGGCTGGCCTCAGAATAGGGTTGGAATGGAGATTTTGCAATATCCTTCCCCCAGGAGTGGAGAGGGAATGGGGATTTTGCAGTATCCTTCCCCTGCCATGCCCACCAAGCCACACTACGCCCACCAAGCCACGCCCACAGAACCAGTAGTAAAAAAAGTTGGATTTCACCACTGCAATAGATCATGAAATGATACTTCTTCTTTAAAAAAAACAACTGTTGTAATGCCTCACAACAGTACTGTTTATATCCCAGGAGAATAAGAGAAATTCCAGTGAGCAGGCATACTCACTAGCTGGCATGCCATCTTGTAGTCTGTTTGGATTTGTAAATGGGAAAGAAAAGCAGATGTCGTCAGGGTAATGATGATTTAAAGCTGACCAGCCAATGTAAGGCTAATGCAACTGTAAAGCTGATGAAATGTAAGGCTGATGCAATGAGAATGAATCAGCATTGGTATAGCCAGTTTAAGACTCTGAAGGGGTCCACACAAGTCTTTTACCACTTTAAGAGGTGTTTATATAAAGGCAGCCATGAGAGGGCGTATCTCTCTCTCTCTTCGTGTTTATCTCTCCTTGTGTCTGGTACTCATTGCTGAGTTCTCCATGTAGAGTTAAAAAGAAGATTGCTTGCTTGTAAGATATTTGCCAGCCTCGTATATTTCTGTATATGTCTTGTATATAAACCACTGTTAAATGTCTAAGCCTTTGTGTACTGTTTTGCTCTTGGGTTGTCTCCTAATAGTAGTCACGCTGCAAACCCTCTGACAGATGCTTTGCATCTGGCACATGATTTCTTAAACTTTTATTCAGCGATTAGTTACTTCTGGATTTCTAGAACCTTTGACTAGCACAGAAACATAGGAAGATCAACTCTACGTAGGGTTCATTTGTTTATCCAGCCAATTATTTTGCTTCACTTATTCCAGTGAAGCTAAGAATAGAAGACTCCTTCTCCTTTCCTTTCTGCTGCTTCAAGTTAACTTTGATAAGTTAACTTGAAGCAGAGACATTCTCAAGTGTCCTTCTGTTCATCCCTGCTGACCTGGGATTTGAAGTTTGGCGTTGCTTTCATTATTTCACTGCTGGGGAGTCAGTCACTGTTTCTAGATTGTTCACACCTCTATGCAAACTTCAGTGAGGTCTTAACCATAAATCAGTAAATCATTCTACACAGTAAATAATCTAAACTGAATCACATTGACATCTTAGATAAGCTCAGTGAAATCTTATGAGATCTTGCACAAGATAGTCAAGATGCTAAACCACTGAAATAAGATTTGTGATCTCATGAAACTTCAGTGATTTTACATATATTTTCTACTATTAATTTATTCTTTTTTAGGCGTCCATAAGTAAGTTTGGGAGTTGAATTCTGATTCTGATATAGACAGGATAATGACTTGGAGCATCTTCTAGCATCAGCTAGTCATTACTCAAGTAATAAAAACACTGTCCTCATTAATATTATTTCAGCACAAGGATGATTGGATGACTTTAGAAGGTGCTGTGTGTTTGCACCTAACTGTTGTGGTTTGCCAGCAGCCTGCAGAGCTGGCAGTGGAGTCAGATAGTGAGGAGGCTGGGGAGGAACATGGACCAGTCCTGGAGTCTGGGGAAGGCCCAGACAAAGGCTCTGTGTCGGAAGCAGAGATGGGGCCAGGGCCATCTGGGAGTGATGCACGGACTCCGGAGCCCCCAGAGTCAGACAGCAGAGACTCAGAGGAACAGGAGGAGCCTGTTCCTAGTGCGCGCATGTGCAGAGCTGCCAGAAGGCAAGAGCAGCTAAAGCAAAAGGGACGACTCGGGAGTAAGGCCAGGAGATGATTGGCCCCTCCCATAAGGCACTTGGGGCTTTTTGCAGGAAAGCAACATTGCTAACTCTGTTTCCAGTCGGCATCTCTTGTTTGTTTCTGAACTCCGTGGAGCTTTGCCAAGTAAGGCCTTTGGCAGGGTGTCAAAGAAGATAAAGGTTGGTGATTATCCCAAAGGACTTCTTCCAAAGGACTTGTTTTGCAACTAATTGGGACTCAGCTGGGAATGAACGTAATTCTCAGATGTTACAATAAGTTTGTTTGGGACTAATTGTGTCTTGTAATGACTCAGTAAGCCTAGGTCACAACACTAACCTTGGTATCTAACCCCGGCAGCATCTTTTTGTACAGTATGTGATTGTGTGACTCCATATTTCCTTCAACTCATCCTCAGCTTATGAATGACAGAGGAATATAACATCCTTAGCCCTACTGGTGTTAACATAATGTTTTTTCCTTTAAACTAGCAGCAGCCAATGGCAGCCAAAGACTAGGGTAAAAACTGCCAACTTTTGCCACCCTTATGTCAGAGGTTTTTTGCTGCTGTGTTCCCAAAGAGCCGTGCGATGCCAGGATAGGAAATGCTTAGTTGGCAATACTGTAAGTCTATAGTGATGCCGGCTTCATGCTAATATGTGATTATGTGATAATGTGATAATGACAGAACCAGCTCCCATCTCAGAGCAAGGAGGATTCTTCTTTTTTTTTTTAAAAAAAAGTTTTTTATTAATAATTCAAAATTAAAAACATTGGACAAAGATATGACATCACTGGTCCCAAACATCTTCCAACA